AAGAGCTTCAACACCGCCATCGTCTGTATGCACGTACAAATAATTAACTGCACTTGAAGCTTTCATAAAATTCTAAATTAAACACCCAAAACTGTACATGGCATCATCACGCAGATGAACTATATGTTTATACGTGAGATTCTGGAGGGGATGTCGGATGGCGTCACGTGGGATGTAATGACATTAATCAAACCATGTACTATAACATGTAAATGTATTACATGTATTATTCTTTGACTGGATATTTATTTATTCAGATGAAAAAGCTGGACTCTTTTATGTGATGATGGAGTATTGTGCAGGAGGAGATCTTTATAAGAAGATGGAAGCACAGAAAGAGAGAGGGATTTTTACAGAAGAACAGGTGAGCTTCTAATGTAAACATACATGAATTCTGTAGCACATTCATTCATTTTAATATACAGAAATAGAAAGTAACTACTGTTACTATTACTGGAGTTACAAAAGACATTGGCTATGCATGGTAAAACTAGAACTTTGCACCCCAACCTCCTTCCTTCCCCCCAAATTGTTTTTCCAATGTATATAATCTGTGTGTAGATCATTGACTGGCTTATTCAGATTTGTCTGGCACTCCAGTATATTCATGAGAACAATGTCCTTCATGGAGATATAAATCCCCAGGTAGGCACTGTTAAAGATAAAACAATCATTTGATTTTCAATAAAAAAAAATAAAATAAATAAAAATAATAATAAATAAACGTTTGTCACTCATTGTGTACAATTTATGAGATTTATGTTGTTATTTTAGAATGTTTTTCTGACTGAAGATGATTACATCAATCTAGGAGATTTTGGCTGTTCAACAACATTGGAAAGGTAAAAAAAAAAAAAGAAGCTTTTAAAAATACTTTTTTGTTTGTTTGTTTCTTTCTTGCTTGTTCCCAGTTTCAGTTTATATGTTTGATTTTAAATTTTTAGAGCTGATGCTTATTCTACATCAGTTGTGGGCGCAGCACTCTATATCAGCCCTGATGTACTTCAGAATAAATATAATTCCAAAAGGTAAATTTTTATCTCACTGCTAACACTGTTCAGATGAAGACTTATAGTTGTCCAGAACATTAAAGTACAACGTTTTTACTTGTTTAGTGATATCTGGTCATTGGGATGGTTGCTCCATGATCTCTGCATGATGGATGTGTGGGTGAGTGTATTTCTTCTTGAAAAGAAGTGCATTAAATAACATTAGGGGTTTGATGATTGTGATGCAGCAGACTTTGATAGGCCCAGAATGGGTCTCCTCAGTCTACTGCGAGATGTGTTAATGTCCAAAAACAAACACAACAAAAGATGACTTAACCCGCAGATTTTCTTCTGTGTAAACTGGTGTTTTATTTACACGTGCACCGGTAATCCAACAGTCCAGCAGTGTAGATATTTACAAGTGCTCATTCCAAAC